CCCCCCCAGGGCTGGATGTGCCCCGGCGGTGATTGCCCCGCTCCCCTATTGCCCTCGGGCTCCGGGGGAGCCCCCCAGGGCACGGCGGTGCCGGTCCCGTCCCTCTCCCCCGCACTCTCCCTCTCTCTCTCTCTCTCCTTCTCATTTGAATAATGTCTAATTCGGGGAGGTTTATATTATTGAAATGGCCGCCCGGCTTTCCCCGCCTCTCATGTTTAGTAATTCAGACCTTTAATAACAGCCACTCAGAGCCCAACGCCGTGTTTATATTTTACATTCGCCCCATGTGCTTTTGTGGTTCAATATGATTCTTCTTTCTCGCTCTCTCGCTTTTTTTTTTTTTTCTTTTTTTTTAAATTTTCTTGGCAAACCCACAGGGCCCCGAGATCAAACCCAGGCTGTGTGAGGAGAGGAGGGGGAGAGCCAGGCCCTGGCTCCTCTGGCAAGTGCCTAGGCCTCACTCTGCTGCTTGATTTATTTACTAATAACCAAAATGACCCCCCCATCTCCACTCCACCCCTGCCAGCAAAAACAAAACCCTCCTGGGGCCTGAGCAGCATCAGATCTGCTCATAGATTCTCAAACACTCATGTCTTTTAAATAAGGAGCTTATTTTTAATTTATAGCAACTCAAGACTGTAAAGCTGTTCCTTTCATATCTGCTTTTCAGAGGCTTTGGCATTTTTGGTCCCTTTGTCCTTGATTCTTTTCCTTAAAGGAGAGTTGCTTCTAATTTACGTTTCCTGGCACTGAGAAAGCTATAGAAGACACACTCAAAATCTGAACAGCTTTCCTCCTCCCTCTGAACACAAACAGAATTGAATACATTGAAGATAATCTTATTCACCTTCTTTTTACTTAATGTGGATGCAGTTTAACAGTGCAGTGTGTCAGATGCTTTTGTCGCTGCTTGTATCTTTGACTGTTCTGGGTTGGTTTTTTTTTTTTTTCCCCCTTTCATTTAGATTTGGCTTTCAAGACAGAAGACACCACTAGGCAGCACAGGGTCTAGAAAGGAAGATAAGTTTTCTGTGATTGTGTCATAAGAACACCAAGTGAAAATTGAAATTAATCCTCTTAAATGGTCCGGAGTAATTCAGTTTTAAACCAGATATTAGTCTACTTAGAAATAAAACAAACGGGCTACTTTATTAGAAAGAGGCAGTAATTTAAAAAAGGGAAATATTTATGCAGGGCTGGGTTTCAGATAAAACTATGTGGGTTTTCATTAGTGACCATTGTTTTCACCCTGTGGAGAAAAAGGACCGAACAGCAGGGTACTTCAGAGTAGCAGTGCCAGATTAGCATGTAAACATCTCTGAAACGAGGCTGGGAAGAGAGTTCACGTGCGAGTGCAGGCGGCGGATTCCGTAGTTTGGTTCTAAATTTAATTTGTCACAAAAAGCTGCGCTGCAGCTAATGAAAAGCATTTTGATTTAAAAAGTAACGACTCAGATTATTTATCCTTTTTCTTCACCCTTGGCGAAGACAGGCCTTGAATACTAGAAGAAAAAATAAAAAAAATAAAAAAAAATCTGTAGAAGCAGTAATGAGACTGTTCAGGTGACTGACTGTTTCACAGACCAACAGCACAAGGCTGGCTGGACAAAAAGCAGTAATATGATTTCATGCCTTAAATAGCATATGTTTTTGCACTCGCTTCACGAGATGTGGTCAAGCCGATGATGTCATTGGCCAGAGGACAAGGTGCAGTTAATTTGATTTATTGACCTGGGGTGAGGTGTAGCACTGAAACCTTCTCATAGGGAAACCATTTATCTGAGGACAATTTCCTTTATAGCAGCAATTTAACCACTGCTGAGACTGTAGATATTTTATCCAGCATGATAAAAATGTACATTGTGCATTGCAACCAAAATTTCTTTGTCGCTGACGTTTTAGTAATTTTTATAGAATGGAATACTGGACAGTGGCCTTGTGCAGTCTTAAGGCTTATGATGCTGAATTCAGGTATTTACGTGCCAAAATACAGATGTGTTTCTCTCAAACATATAGCTGTGTTGTGGCTTAAAATTCTACTGGAATGTGCTGCGGATAGAAATGTGTCTTCCCCAGTGAAGCCCATAGGCAGCATGTTAGTGGGAAGCACCTTTTCCCAAACCTTGGCATCATCTTCACTTCTCAGAAGGTGCCCAGACTGGGGAGCAGGTATTACCTCTCAGTCTTGAGTAAGGACTTCTGTGTTAGTTTATCACTGGTAGGTGTCAGATTTTAAGCTGTTTCTTGGACCATCTTGGTGTGTGTTGGGTCAGAGGGTGAAAGAAGCTTTTTTTTCTTCCCTGTGGACTACCTGGCTGTGGTGGAAGTGGAGGGTTGTGCTACTGTTGCAGTGCTGTCTAATTTTTTTCAGGAGAATATATTCTGTGTTGGCTGTCTTTTCAGCTTTTGAGACAGAAGTAAGACTTGTTCTCCCTATGAAATAGTTCCCCCGCCTGATTACATCTGCTCAGTTATCAGGGTGATGCTGCATTTTTTCTCTTTTTTTTTTTTTTTCCCTTTTCTTTTTCAAACCTGACCAAAATTTAGCAATCTGACAGCTGGTTGGAAAACAGGCTAAGCTGTGCCAGTAGCCGTGTGGAGCAGAACTGGGGAGGTGTGTGTCAGTATGGTGACTTTTAAAAACTAGAGGAGCTAGACCTTACCCCTCACTTCCCAGAAAGAAGGGGGAGAATCTAAGCTTCCCAACCTGTCATTTCAAGAGGGGAAAAAAAAAAAATAAATCTCAGGTTTGCTGTCAGTATCAATTTCTCAAAGATTAGCCTGCAGCCATAATTCAAGCAGTAAGTGTTCATACTGACTGCTGATGCTGGACGTGGGTACCTTCTGAGTGCTTGTCCCAGGGAGTGGCAGTGTCTGGAGGTGCCTCACTTGATGGAATCAGGGAGGTTCCCTTCAACTTGGTCTGCCTGTTAAACCTGAGGAAGCACCAACATAATCTGTGTTGGGAGTCTCTTACACGGCGTGAAGAAGTGCTGTTCTTACTTCAGCTTCGTTATGATCATTTGTTGCCCGGAAAAAGGGGATTTGGAACACCATTGTCACTTAAATAATAGTTTTCAGATTTCGAGCACTAAGTTCCACGCTTAGAGTAGCTCACTTTTGCTGTTTTCTTGATATTCAGATGTGTGAGGATAGGAAGGATTCTGGGGTAAATGTTTTGCCTGTGCTGTCCGGGATGTTTTGGTTGGGTTCATCTATCACCCAGTTTCTTTCTGTTAAAGAGGGTTCAAGTCTCCCCCTAGGTTTGTTTTCTCTCCTGGTTCTCTGGCAAATTTGCCGTAGTTTTTTATAGCATCCAGTAAGTTTTCATTTGTTTTCCTCAAATTTTGGCTCCTGTAGAGTTCAAGACTTCAAAACAGGTTGCAGCATCCTTTTCTATTCCTCTTAAACTGTTGTTACCCTCAGGACAATAATCTTGATGCTGCTATTTTATACAGCTGACAATTAGGCAGCCTCTGCTACTTGCACGTACAGCTTTATTATTTTTATCTTAGGAGAATCAGTGACAATCCTGGCAAACGACTGTCTTCTATGCCACACGTGTTTTTCAGTCTTGGTGACAAAGCTGTTGTCTAAAGAAGGTGTTGAACAAAATTAAGTATGACTTGAGTGTCCCAAATGTGATCTGCTTGGCTGTGCTTGAGCTGGAATGTGAATGAAAGACTATCTCAGTGCTGCTGGATAGACTTACAGTGCTGGCTGCTCACTGCTGCAGAGATTTGCTTCTGTGTTAACAAATTCCTCCTCCCCCCCTCCCTTTTCCAAATGTGCTTCCTTGTTACACAGGGCAAGTTAAGTGTGGGATTTGTTGGGCTGAGTGTAGGAGATAAATTTAAGGACAGATACTGCTCTTGGATCGCGTGTATTAAGTAATTGCTTGTATTTCACATGGAACAGTTTGACAATGCTGATCTGAGAAAAAAGATGCATTAGATGTATTTTCCTTTCTGGAGCTCTTTGCATTACATTTCCTGAATCTCGTGAATAGGCCCTCATCCTGCTTCAGGCACACTTATTTTTCTCTATAGAAAAGGAAATAATTATTTAACTCTCAGTATTATTCCTTTCTCTAGTTTCTTATTGCACAGCTATCTAGGAGATACCCACGTTTGTTAACTATATTATATCTGTGAGCTTTATAGTGCATTACAAAGTCTTTGCAAAAAGAGTTTTTGATAGCCTACTAATTGAATTAGTTTAGGGTTAATAACCCAGCTGAGTGATGAAGTGTTGGTTTGCTGTAGAGGATTTACCAGGCTCCAATCCTGAGTTTGTCACCGGTTTCGCTTGCTCTGCTGTTCTGGGCTAAATCTGTGTGATGGGAATTACAGAGCACACATTTTCACAGGGGTGTTGCTAGGGAGAGAATTAGCTAATGTTTCACAGTATTTCTGAAGGTGAGAGCGCCGTGACTCTTCTGCTTTTGCCGCGTTAACCGTGCGGGGCTCGTGCCCAGGTTGAGCCTGGCGCGGGTGTTTTCGGCGCTGCCGCCGCTGGGCACTCCCGGCGGTGCCGAGGGCCTCCCCGTTGTACGGGCACAGATTACTGTCAGTTCTAACTACGGTGTGATGCA